TATATATATAAAGATATATTACCATTAATTCTCCACAAAATATTTCTCCTCACTTCTAACAACTTACGCTCTTCTTGCCACTCTCTGAAGCAGTTCCACAAGTCACCTCTAAGAAGTTTGATCAGAAATATGAATGCTGCTGCTGAGTGCCATCCAATGGAAAGGCACGCTCATAAAAACATCACTGTGTGTCCTCAGCCACCTTATTTATCAGATCGGTCACCATGTGACTTCTGGCTCCTCCCCAACATCAAAATGATGAAGAAAAGTAAATGTTTTTAATCAATTCAAGACACTGAGGTACCCAGGACAGAGCAACTAAAGATACTCAAGAAAAGAGACTTCAGAGGGCTGGGGATGTAGCTCAATGGCATAAGCGCCTGCCTGGCAAGTGCAAGGTCCTGAGTTCGATCCCCAGTACCGCAAAAAAAAAAAAAAAAAGGCGAAAAGAGACTTCAGAACTGCTTTAGAAAATGGCAAAAACAATGACATATGTATGTTAGAAGTGAGAGGAGTATGGGGGGGTTTAATGGCAATGTGTCTTTCAATATAATAATTTTTAAAAATTTAAACACATACCATATTTTTCTGTCATACTTTGGAGAAGAGGACAGAAGCTATGGGAATAGATAGGATTTCCCAGACAGGGGACTACAGACCAAACAGGAACACAAATATCTGAAGGACACAGAAAAGGAACAGTGGCATATAAAGAGACAAGTAGAAAGACAAGTATAGAAAAGCAAGGAAAATGATTGGGGTGGGGATGGTAAATGCTTTTGAGAAGTCGCAGGAGGTAAGGACTGAAAAGCATCCATTAGATCTAGCAATCAGGCAACCTTGGCAGGGGCTGGTATCTGAGTCCTAATAGCAACAGCAAGATGGAAGTTAGTTGAGGAATGGAGACAGCAGAAGAAATAGAGACATTAAATATTTAAAACTCTTTTAAGGAGTTTGATGTAAATGGGGAAAAGGGTCAGGGAAGCAACATTAGAAGACTTCAGAATTTTTTGCAGATCATTGTTGTATTTTAATGCATGAAACTTGAGCATGGTTTGAATGCTGATCAGAAAGTTTATTAAAAAAGGGAAAATTGGAGATATGAGGCAGAAATGGGGTACAGTATGGACATTGAATAAACAGAGAACCTTGACAAAGTCGAAGGTGATGGATCCAAGGCAGGAGGACAGTGTCTTCTTTCATTGTAACAAAGGAAGTCTCAAGCAACTGCTGTGAAGAATGGAAGAAGGAATCAGGGGGCCTCTTCTCCCTCTGCCATTTGGTAAACAACTGGCTATACTATACATAGCTCATCAAAGATGCCTTTTCAAACTATACAGTGTTCAAAAGAGTATTGTATAAAAATGTAATCTGAAAAATCACTGTTGCTAGATGATTACTCTAAAATTAAAGTAGCATATAAATACGAAGTGGCTAAATTTACATTTTTAAACATCAGCATTTCTTAACATTTTTGACATTCTTTACAGAATAGTCTACAGTGGCCTAAGCCACCTTTTTAGTAGGAGAATTAGCCAAAAAGCACCACTTATGCTGCCCAGGGGACCATGAGTACAGAAGTGTGCCTTGGGGACCATGAAGAACCATGGGATGGCTCCACAGACAGATCGTCGTGACATGGCCAGACTAGTTTGCCATCTTTCCTGTTACTTGGCTAATAGTACTCTGACTTTGTTCGCTTCTAAGGCAAACAGTTGTCCAGATTTAAGAAGTGAGTCTTGATTAGTTCAAATCCATCTGATTTAGGAATGGGCATGGAACACAATTCTTGTTGATAAAACTTCAAGAAGTCTGGTGGGTGGGGGAGGAACTCCTGAAAAGCTCCTCCTCACTCGCAGGGAAAGTCGCACAAGGGTGTAGCACACTTTCTCCATCTCTGAAAACGTTTAGTACCTAGAGCTCCTGTAGTCATCAAGGGATCCTCAGGGGAGCCAGCTAAGGAGGACAGGGGATGTACTCAGGGAGACAGTACAAGCGTGAAAAGAGTTAGGTCTGCAACAATGCCACCAACCTGTTCATTTAGCCAACCCTAGAACTACTTTACTTTGCAGTTTCTTCCTGTGTGAAATAATACATTTTCCTCTTTTCAAAGCCATCGCTAATATGGCAAGATGGGGCCAAAATGATTAAATTGTAACAAACAGGAACTGAGAAAAGACTGAAAACAGGAAACAGAAAGTATTTGCTATCCTGAAAATGAGGATCAGTTTACTATGATAAGTCACCTAATAAAAAAATAAGAGGATGAAGAGTTTTGGGGGGAAAGGAGGAAAAGGAAGTATAGGGAAAGCAGCAGGTAAGACAATGAGATAAGTTTCATTAACGTCTCTTTTGCCCACTCTATCCTTTGGGGAATGAGCTATCCTGACTTTTTCTTTCTAATTCCCTGGCTGTCCTTGATCATTAACTTTTCCTTCTCAGCTTTGTGACTCATCCCTAGTCTCAGACGTCAGAATTCTACTAATAGTTCCAGGGGGAGAAAAACATAAACACCAGTTACTCACTGAAGATATCTACACCTGCCACAGTCAGGTACTGGTGGTTCCTTAAGTGAGCTGGACCCTCCCCTTCTCACTCAAGTCCAGATCCTTCCAAGCCACTTCACCAGCCCTAGTGACTCATCCACATCTAGGGATTTAAACATCACCCTCTAAATGTACGACACATACAGTCTTAATCTTCACTACCCTGTAATCCTGCTCAAATGCCCTGGGAAAGCTATACTTTAATGCCCCTCTACCTCTCCACCACACTCTGCCCCTCCACCTCTCTTCCTTACCTCTGCACAAATTCATCATACACCAAACGGAGCTCCTCTTCACCCAGATCAGCTCTCTTCAGCAGTATTTCACTCCTGTCTGTGATCTGTACCACTGGACAGCCTGGAGTCACTGCAAAGCCTCCCTTCCATTCCTCCTCTCACATCTTGCTTCTTTCAAACTATCTCTTAGATTTACCCAAGTGCTTCACCCCTACTGACTCCATCATAAGCCAGATGGTCACATAACACAGCTGAGCCACATCCCTCAGCTCTTAGGCTCCCTTTCGCGCAGTTACCACTCATCTGTCATCCTGCCATTTCTCCAGTGGGGAATCTGCCTGGAGGGGCTTTTGCCTGCTCATGTCACAAAGCTCCACCTCTTCTGCAGAGTTACAAAGCCATCTCTAAGCTGGCTCTGCGATATTATTCTATCTTCTTCCAGCCAATCTGACAAGTAGGATACTACTGAAGGCTCACACTGTGCTCTCCCAGGCTTGGTATTTCACTGTACTGGCCTTCCTTTTCTTTTGGAGATATCCAACATTTCCCCCTGCTATCCTAAGTCCTACTCATTCCTTTAGGCCCAGCCCAAATTTCTCTGCCTTTCATAACCACTCCATCTTTTTCATCTTTGAACTCTGAGTACCATACACTTTAGCTTCTAATTGTCTTATAAAGATCCATTTTCTCTCCCTGACTAGACCACATTGCTTATTAGAGAAACTATATCCTACCCATCCTGCTGTCACACATAGAACCTAGTAGGTAGAGTAGTAGGTGAATACTAGGTAGAGGTAAGATAAGTATTTAACCAGTGGTCAGCATTCAAGGAGTAGCTTGCATATTTCCTGTAGTTTTAGTTACTGCGGAGCCTGGAAAGGAAGCAGGGCTCAGCAGTGTCCCACGGCCCTTGCAAAGCCTAATATATACTACAAAGTTACACATACACAGTTGACAGGGTGCCACTTCTGAAATGGAGATCATCATTTCCCAAAGACACATCACTAAACTGGCTGTGCTCATCACCAAGCAACCAGTGTGGGGGCCAAAGACAAGCAAGGAGCATGGTCTGGAACTACATTTACCACTGTGGCTTCCTCCAGTGGAGTCACTTGGTGCCAGGGGAGGTGGATGCGGCTTGTCCATCAGCATGCCAGATGAGGGGGCTCCTCCCAAAGGGACAGAGGGGATGGAGTAAGGGCCAGGGACACCGGAGACAGAGGGAGGGTACCCGGCCTTGGCCGCCTTCCCTGCTTCATACACTGTGGAGGGAGATGAAGAGCAAGAGAGATTACGTTGTCCCACCCTCCACAACCCTCAACCAAAAACCCCTGAGGAAGTACTTGGGGGAGTTACTGGGCATAGGCACACTATCCTAGGACTGCATGGATTCTCCCTTGGCTTCCTCCAGCTCCATCAAAAAGGCAGTGACATAAGGAATTGCAGTATTCGGAACCTAGCAACTGGCTAATTACATGGTTCTGGGAGCTGTCACTGCAGCATCCCCAGTGACAGCAGCGGCCTACTCTAACTCACACTGTATGTAGGTGGCCTCCACCCCTCCGGAGCAGGCCTAGCGCAAGGGTTGCCCAGGGCTGCTTCCAGGGGGATCCATAGCCTCTTCAGGAAAAGCACAGCAAGCAACAGGCTTGGTCATGGACCCCTGCTCTATGATTTCAAAACTCCTCCTAACACTGCTTTTCACTAAAGTGTACACAATGTGCGTCTCTCTTCCAAGACTGACTTGTCGGAAGGATGCCAAAAGTAATGCCTATATGGGCTTGGCTGGTAACGTGAAATGGTGAATCCCCAAGTGAGGATGAGTTCTTGTGGTCCATTTCATCACAGGAATAAGTAAAGCTATCATTGTCTGCTGGAAGGTGTTGAAAGGCCACCATTTGCACACTCTGTTTGTAACAGAAGACGTTCTCTGCGTAGGAGGAGAATAACCAGTGGAGGTTTCCTAGTTTGGATGTCCCAGCAAGAAGAAAAATCCTTATCCCACAGCCTCACCATCCTGGACCTGCCCTTCCTTTGAGCAGCAATGTCTGTGAGAATTCCGAAGGCATGGAGAAATGGTGTGGATAGAAAGCACAGAGATGTGCATGTAGGTGAGGAAGAAAACAAGATGGTCATCCCGGAAGCCGTGGGCTCACACAGAGGAGAGGGTCTGGGATGACCAACTTTTGGGGTGGAAGAAAAGGAAGTGAAGGAGGAACTCGGGGTAGACAGCTGTCAGGTGGAGAGGTGACACTTCTTCCAATCACATCACATCTCCACACTGATTCTTCCTTTACTCACAGGCCTGGGGGCAGCAACAGGAGTCTGGGCAGCATGGGCAGCGGACATAGCAGCAGCAGCTGTGTGGACAACACTGGCACCAGCAGATCCCCACGAGGACGAAGAAGAGGAAGACTCCCAGGAGCACCAGGCCGACAAACACCCACTCTGGAGGGACACACAGAGAAATCCACACTCGAGGTGGCCTGCCTCCAGGACAGGGCATGGTCTGATTAGTGTTTGCCTGTGAAAGGAGAAGGGGACGATCTGGGGAAGAAAGTGTGCCTTCCTGGGAACACAGCCCCCAAACACAAGAGGAGCGCTGAGTGTGAGAAGTACCTGGACACTTTGCAGAAGTAGGGAAGAGGGAAGAAGGTTACCTAGGTCTCACACTGGGTGCACAGAACGACCAGCACAAAGCAATGGGGGGACTTCAGGGTCCCTTACTGGGAAAGGTTTACCAAATGGATAGTATTGGAGCAGGATGGAACAAGAGCAGAAAGATTCCTGTGGGGAATTGGTGGGAGAGACTTTGCCTGCTGGGCTATGTAGTGGTATTCTTGAGAATACCTATCTTTTATAATCAAGTTAATCTTGCCTATTATGTGTAAATCATGAAAAAGGGGCCTCTATATCTAGATGCAGCTAGACCATCTTTGGTGGTATAGGCCCAAACATCTGCTTTCCCTACTGATCAAATCTTCCCTGTTCTCAGTAGCAGGACTGAGACCCAAACTTCTTGTTTATACCTGGATAGCTACACATGGCTTTAAAAAAAAAAGTGGAGACATAGTCTCACATAGAGAAGACAACGTCCCTAACCCCAGATAATGGGTTTGAACACCTTCAAGCTGACCATGCTACCGAGCCAGCATAGCCATGGACCAATGTGGCTTAGAGCTGTGATAAATGGTTACACAAATGACCTGTATTTCGCTGAGTCTGTTGATTTAACTTCTGTTATTTTCACAGCTCTGCCAGAGGCTGAACATGAATTGGATTTCATTTGTCCATCCAAAAGATTAAGAGAAAGGCAACAAATCTTATTTGGCTCAGATAAAAATGACTGTGGCCCTCAAGTGAATTGTCTTAATATTGTACTATCAGGACTTGGCTGGAGACCCATGCAGACTGAGTGCAGTGAGCTATGCTGTCCCTTAAAAGCCAGAAGACTAATGGGATTCACTTCAGTTAAAGCCATCTGTCAAAACACCCCTTTTACAGTGAGCTGCAAATACACTTTTAAAAATGTTTTTTGGTTATTATGTCTTCTTTCAATTAAATGGTCATTCATTTAGGAGCTTTAAAATATGACATTTTTGTTATCCCAAAAGATTTTATGATAATGTAAAATCATTTGACCTTTGTTTAGAACACAATTTCCTCAGAGAGAAAGCAAACAACTTCTGTCTCCTGAATGGCCCTCCACCCTTATCCATCAGATACATTCAAATTAAGCAGAACAGCCTCTCTGCAGTGAAGGACTGAGCAGGCTTTGTACCATTCTTGCTGAGGACAACAGAGAGCAGAAGGCTTGGTCCAGGCTGTAGCAGTAATATAACACAATGTGGCTTGAGACAGCTAGGAGCTTCGAGCGGGGGGAGGCTGTTTTGTTTTGTTTGTTTGGTACTGGGATTGAACCCAGGGCTTTTGCACTGACCTATACTCCACTGATTGATTGATTGATTGATTGATTGATTGAGACCAGGTCTTGCTAAGTTGCTAAGTTCCCCAGGCTGAGGTTGAACTTGTAATCCTTCTGCCTCAGCCTCCCAGAGTGCAGTCCTGGAGGTCTGGTGAGCTGTATGGAGTGGTGATTACAACTTATGTCAGGCATTTAACGGAAAAAAGGCTGATAAGTTATATTTGAGACACACAAGAATATTATCTGCTAAAAGATTCTTGGAGTCAAAGGGGGGGTGGATTTCAGGTGGATAGGGCCAGATATAAAATATATAGTAACTCCTTCATAGAACTGGAAGATGTAACTTCTAGTTTGAAACATCACAAAGTAACACTGGGCCTTTGTGAGGTTTTGCTTTGTGAGCAAATACTTACAAATTAAGTGAACTTTTGATAAAGGGGGATTACAGAGAGCTATCTATTTGTGTCCTTGGGAGCAACGGCAAGAAAAATGTCTGGGTTTGGGTTGGCGGGCTAATGGGAAAGGGCTAGAAAAATTCGTGCAAGAATGATTAGTGAAATTCAACTGTGAAGACTCTGGATGTTTTTTAAAGAATTAAATCAAGTCAAAACCAATGGCCAGGAATATTTCGTATCTCTCTTCTGCTATTTAAAGTCCTGGCAGAAACCCTCCAAAATAAGACTGAACCCCATCCTTTCTTAACCCTTGAGTTTGGCCTTGTCTTCACCACTGTTCTTTCTTGTTTCTCTCTGAGACTCCTTCCATTATGAAATACACTGCTGAACCGAACTGACTTGGCTTGTTTAGGCTGGTGCATTCATCTGAAGCTACACTGAAAGATAGAGATGCATATTTGGGGGAAGTCATGCTTGCCATATTGTCCATGGGACCATAAGGGACTTGGGGGTCTCACTAAGTTGTTCAGACTGGGCTCAAACATGTGGTCCTCCTGTCTTAGCCTTCCATAGTTTTGTGATGACAGGCATGTGCCACCACATGCCCAATGTGTATTTTTCAATGGTGGAGGAATACATATCTTTCCTAAGATTTGAAAAAGATTTTTAATAATGTAATAAAAGGAAATTCAGAATAACATAATTGGATAATAACAAATGGGCAAACATATGAAAATAATGACTTTGTTAAGAGTCTCAGAAGCTGTCTGGGTACAGCTGAAATAGTGAGGTGGGCAGGGAGACTGCCAAGATGCCTGCCACTGAAGAACTAGGTCTCCATCTCAGCCCAAGTGTAATTATCATTATTTTAGGGCCTAGAAACAGAAGGAATACAATTTAAAAGCTTTTCCAATGGGCTTAGTTCATCCTGCAAAAGATCACAGATATATATAGACAAATGTGCAAATAGATTAAACAAGAAATTAGTCACTAATGCAAAAGCAAGACAGATGGAATGACAGCAAATTAAGCAAATAAAGAGTTAAATGACTGAATACCTGGCATAATCTCCACAGCAAAACTGGGCAAGAGATCAGCAAGCAGCCCTGTCCTGCCTAGAAGAAGTGGAAGGAAAAGAAGAAGGAAAGAGGTTACTCCAAAGGAAAATGCAGCCTGAAACATAGCTCCCACTGGTACCATCCTACATGGGGCTATTGGGCCATGCTCAATGGAGTGTGAGAGCACAACACCAAGGTGGAGCTCAGTGCAAGACAATGGCCTTTTCTACAATCTTTGGCAGCCATCTAAGTGGAGTCTGCACCTAAACGAGGTGGATGCAGAAACAGAACTTTCTCTCCAACTATTTACAGGAGGAGGAAATCTCTGTTTAAATATGAAAAACTCTGCTTGAGCAGATTGACATACACCACCTCCATTTATTTATGCATCCTTGTCCATACACTTCATTGCAAGTCAAACCCATCTGTATCCAAACGTTCTGTCTACATTTTCATACATCCATACACAGACCTATGTCCATATAAAAACAAAAGTACATATTTGGTTTTAACTCAGACTTATCTTGCTACATGATTCTATTTATGGCCTAAAGATATTTCAATGATTAAAACTTTCAATGGAAAGGCAAAGATAAAGCTAGATTGGTTACACACTCCTCTACACTCCTTCTGGCTTCAGAAATACTCTCTACATATGTATATGGTATGGTTTTTCCATATGGCACTCACAGCTGGCACTGTATGTACCCAAGTGCCTTCTGTGTGATGTGGCATAAGAGGCTTAAAGCTGGTGTCAGAACAGGTGCCCCTCAGAGGTTCTGGGAGGCAAAGAGCTGTGCAGGAAATAAGGCACTGGGGGGTGTGAGAGAGATGATCTGTCTTTAAAACCTGGCCTGACTTATAGCAAAATGTTCTGATCTTTTCACCTTATTCTCCTATCGAGGTGAACATAAGAGCCTGTGATGCTATCTCTATACCACACTAGTAAACTAGTAAGTTCCATTAGGAAACCACTGGCAAATTTCTCTCCTTTCAATGAAAGTACAGTGCCAGCAAGATGGGTAATTTTAGCTAGTAATTACATTAAGAATGTAAAAGGAAACATAAAATTAATTTAATACTATTTCTACTTATATCAATATCAATCACTTATTATCATTTCAAGGGCTCAGTAAGCACACATAGCTTTTGGATAGCACTGCTCTAGAGCCTATAAATTGGTTGCTTGTATCACCAGTGACACAAGTCTAATTAATTATTTGTACCACAGAACTCACAGGCATGTTTAAAACATTGGTAGCGTTGAAAGTACTAGAGAGTAAACAAGAGCAATGCTTCTCATTTAAACAGATACAACAAGAGACATATTTAGCAATACGAATTGTCCAGATTGGGGAAAATACAACAAAAACCTGTAATCTACATTTTCACATAGTCATTCATGGCCTTATTTCCATATAAAAACAAAATTCAGATAGATGATAGATAGATAGATAGATAGATAGATGATAGATAGATAGATAGATAGATAGATAGATAGATAGATTTAGCTCATTTAGAAACCATTATTTCCTGTTAAAGTTTGTTGAAGTACAGTAGAGAAAAGGTTACCCATGTAAGGCTTACAAGGATCAGACTTGGTCACTGGCCCCTCCTCTAAAGGTATCCCACAAAGAAGAAACTCTGACAAAGGTCAAAGGACAAGTGCACCTTCAGGAACTAGGGAAGATGCTACAGCTGGGACAAGAAGTTGGTGTGGGTTAAAGGCGATCTTTGTTCACTTTCCCTTTTCCTAGCCCTCCTCATCTATAGGAGGCTAAATGGTAACATGAGTCCCCGGCCATATCTCCTGCCTGGGTGATGGTACCACATCTGCAAAACTATGAGTATATTCCAAGAGAAAGGGTTGGTGTCTCAGGCCAGCTCTGCTTCTTACAAGGTCCCTTAGGAGGACAAGTGAGAGCCGAGTGAGGCACTGGAGAAAGATGTCCTAAAGACTGGAGACTACTCAGGCTGGCTTTTGGTCTAAACTTTCACAAGCGCTAAGAGGTGCCACTAAGGCTCACAAAGTCCCCTACAGTAGAAAACTAGACAAGGGTTTGGGATCGAATATGAGCAAGTGATTAAGAACATGCACTGGTTTCATCCAGAGTGCTCTCTAAGAACTATCTCTTGGAAATCCAACAAGGCAATGCATAGCTGATCGAAGATTTGGGGATGTGGCATCTTGGACATCTCTGGAAGACATAATTAGTATCCATTACCTCACAATAGCCAATGATCAAGAAGTAAGTATACATTGTTTGTTAGCAATCCAGTTATCATCTACTCACTTGATGAGAGATTTTTGTTATAAACATTTTTTTCTTTTTCCATCTCTAGTACTCAATTAGTACTTCCACATATGTCTCTTGTTGCATCTAGTTAAATGAGAAGCTTTGTGTTTACAATCTAGTGCTCAGGTTTACCAATGTTTTAAATATCTCTAGGTGTCCAAATCATTAATTATATTAATAACAATGCCATTGATACAAGCTATAAATTTGTAGGCTATCACAGCACATCCATTATGTAGCAGTTATTAATTATAAAAATCCACACATTCAAGGAGGATATGGATTCATGCATATTATAAACACTGTATTATGTTGGAAAAGATAGTAGACTGGGAGTCAAGGTAGCTTAGAACAGATTTGTAGTTATATTACTTATTGACTAGTACAGACAAATTACTTCCCCCTTGTCTCAATTTCCTCAGAAGAAAGAAGAGGTTGAATGTAGTGGTATATAAATAGGAAGACCATATATCTTACTTTTTCTGGGACAGTCCTGGATTATGTCTATGATCATGATGTAATTATTAATAATACCCCTTTTTACTTTCAAAGCATCCTTGTTTAGATAATTTATTATATGCTCACCCTATCTACATAATTTTTAGTTATCAAATCCGATACTCAGTGATTGGAGTTGCAAATGTCTATAGGGATAGGCAGGTAATGCAAATGAGGATAGCTAGACAGTTTTAAATGAAGAAGGAACAGTTGGGGTGTGGAAAATGGGAGTGTCATTACAGGGCTGCTACTATTCACCTCTAACCAATTATTGCCTAGTGGGAATTGTCTTCAAGGTTCCACATCATCCTATTCAAGATTCGTCAGATCTCATATTTTATGTGAAATACTCTGATTTTCAAATATTGGACAACTAATTCATATGTATTTAAAACAGTGGATAAGTCAAACAAAATATGTCCGGGGGCTATGAGTTTTCAACCTCTGATGGGTATATACACAGAGATATATTTACAGGTGGGAAAACACAAATGCTGGATTTCCCCTACAGGCTGCGTAGGTTATCTTAATGGTGTGCCACTGCTGCTTCCACACAAGAATGACGGTGAATATAAACTCTCACGGGCACATATGTTCAAATTAAAACTTCAAAGCAACACTATTACACATCAGATTGTTAGCCTTTCCGTATTTCTGAGAAGTTGGAATGGGTATCGTGGAAAAACAATGAAGGGCCTGTCATATTTTACTCTAGATTTTCTTGCTTTTATATTGCAAAAAATTAAAGAGATTAGTATGAAACTGGCACTTGGAGGAGTGTATACAACATATGGATAGGAAATTCACAAACTTTGTCACTCTAGCAGGAAAACCTACATCAAACTTCTCATTCCCCTGAAGCAACGGTCCGGAGCTGGGGCTTCAGAAAATGCAGACTTCCCATAATGCATCTCTGTAATGTTATGTTAGCCTCAGGGTGGTGGGAATGACAGACTCTTGCAGTAAAGTGGGTGAAATTAAATGTCTTTTGAATTCAGAACATAGTAGGAGTTTGGTATAGGAGACAACACAATTATATCAATAGTGGAGAATGCAAAGCTCTCTGGCTTTTACTTTATGACTTATATTCTAGTGGCGCTAAAAGCATTTTAAAAACTGGATTTATGCTGGACTCCTATATTTCTGAAAATCGTTTTGCTTCCAGCTTTCTCCCTAATAATTCCTAAGAAATGCTACTGTCAGTTAGAAATGTGCTATCTTTTCATATATTCTATCACAACCAATGAAAGTCTCATCTTAGGATGTCTAAACAATGGTAGTAAATACATTCCAGATTTCAGCAGCACTTTACCAACACTTATGAATCACTGTTATTCTTCCAGGATTTAGTTTAAGACTTGCAATCACAAGTCACTTTAACATCTAAGGAAAAGGATGGAAAGCAGACCCTGCAATAGAGAGACACATTTACTCTTTTTGAACCAGCCCAAACTCACAGAAAATAGTTTTCATGTAACCACTCAGTTTTTTCCAAGCCTTGCAAAATCTATTACTTTTAAGAAATTTCCACATGAATACACCAAATGAATCAGGCACACCAATAGTTTGTGCATGCACAAACACAGTACCAGTGTCACACCAGATGGTCACAGGCTCCAGAGCAAATATGTTCGGCTCCTTTGGGCTGAATGCTCAGGGAAGAAACTGGCACTGTGAATAAAACAACTGATGTCTCTGACCTGTATCACTATTTCAGCTGTTCTGTGCCACTGCTACCTTAGAATTATCCCCTCCTGCACTGTTCATATGTATTCCTGGGAACTAGCTCACTGCTGGAATGTCTCTAGTTCATTCATTCAATAAAGAAATGCGTATTGCGGGGCTGGGGATTTAGCTCAGCGGCCCAGCGCTTGCCTGGCAAGCGCGAGGTCATGAGTTGGATTCCCGGTACCAGGAAAAAAAAAAACAACAAAAAAAAGAAATGCGTATTGCACCCAGTGTAGACAGAAACAGGAATAAGGCATGGCTCCTTGAAATGCCTGAGCGATTCTTTCTGGCCCACACCATGCAGCTTGTGCAACCACATAAGGAGAACTCAGAATTCTCTTTTCTTTTCTTTTCTTTTCTTTTCTTTTCTTTTCTTTTCTTTTCTTTTCTTCTTCTCTCCCTCTCTTCCTTCCTCCCTCCCTCCCTCTCTCCCTCTCTTCCTCCCTCCCTCCCTCCCTCTCTCCCTCCCTCCCTTCCTTCCTTCCTTTCTTCTTTCCTTCCTTCCTTCCTTCCTTCTTTCCTTCCTTCTTTCCT